CCCAACACCCGGCCACCCCCTAATGAGATGCCACCTGAGGCAACCGCCTCTGGCTGCCTCATTATAGAGATGGCCCTGCACAGACCTCTGTGCCCATTTGAATTAGCCTGTAATCATTGTGCCACATGTAAGAATCTAACAGAGATGTGCAAACCTAAGCACACTCATTTTCAAAACATGCATCTCTTTCAGTATATTATTATATATCATTTTCTGCACATAGCCGACCTCCAGGAACACTTTAGGAATAGTAGTGCGGGGCTGAGGAGTATACACAGAACAGAGTGCGGGGCTGAGAAGTATGTAGCACACAGATTACAGGGGTCAGGAGCGCATATCACAGAGAGTACTGAGGTTAAGAGTACAGTGCTCAGGAGTATGCAAAGCACAGAGTGCAGTGCTGAGGAGTTCATAACACACAGAGTACAAGGCTGAGGAGTTCATAACACACAGGGTACAAGGCTGAGGAGTATATAGCACACAGAGTGCAGGGCTGAAGAGTATGTAGCACACAGAGTGCAGGGCTGAAGAGTATGTAGCACACAGAGTGCAGGGCTGAAGAGTATGTAGCACACAGAGTGCAGGGCTGAAGAGTATGTAGCACACAGAGTGCAGGGGTCAAAAGTGCATATCACGGAGAGTACTGGGGTTAGGAGTGGGTATCACACAGAGTGTAGGTTTCGGGAGTATGTAACGCACAGAATGCAGAATTCAGGAGTATGTATTAGGAGTATAAGGCTCAAGAGTATGTAACGCACAGGGGTCAGGAGTGTGTAACAGACAGAGGGCAGTGGTCGGGAGTGGGTATCTCACAGGGGTCAGGAGTCGGTATCTCACAGAGTGCAGGGGTCAGGAGTGTGTAACAGACAGAGGGCAGTGGTCGGGAGTGGGTATCTCACAGAGGGTAGGGGTCAGGAGTCGGTATCTCACAGAGTGCAGGGGTCAGGAGTGAACATCATAAGGAAGGGTCAGGAATGGGTATCGCATTTAGATATATCACAGTACAACTAAGAATTACCCACTCCTCAATATATACCCCTCCCAGCAGATTTAAAGCTGATCTCCAGGAAAAATAAAAACTCCCCATGCAGTGGGGCTACTGCATGGGGCAAGAAGCTTTTTTTGGCAGAAGAG